CCCCTCGCGGCGTTACCATGGAAGCGGCGGAGGCGGAAGTGGAGGGAGCGGGACGCGAACCCGCGGCCCCGGAGGGCGGCGCTGCCCGCTGTCCGCGTCGGAGGGCAGAAATCCGCCCGCGGCGCCGCTCTTAAAGGGGCCGCGTCACCCGCCGCACACGCGTGTCGTCCCGCGTGCGGGTGGATGGGCACGCACGCGTCAGCGCACACGCACGTGTCAGCGCGCGTAGATGTCAGTGTGCACGCGCGCATTAGCAGGAACACACGCGTCCATGTGCACGCGTGAGAAGGAGCACATACGTGTCCGTGCACACACATCTGCGTGCACACACGTGTGTCAGTGCGCGTGCTTGTTAGTGTGCACATACGTGTCCGTGCACATATGTGAGTGGGTTCATACATGTCAATGCAGGTGCATGTCAAAGGCTGCACACACACGGCAATGCACGCAGATCAACACGTGTGTGAGCTGGCACGCACACATCAGTGCACACAGGTTGATGTGCACACACGTAAATGAGGGCATACGCGTCCATAGACACACGTGTTAATGTGCACACCCATGTTCACGCGCACACATCGCTACACAAGTGAACGGGCACACACCTGTCCATGCACACATGTTAATCTGCACACCCATGTTAATACCCATAGGTCCATGCACATGTGAGTGTGCACGCACACACCATCTCACAAGCACATTGATGGGAGCACATATCAACGGGCGTGCATGCACACACATCTACGCACACACATGTTAGCACACGTGTTTACACACACATCAGGGTGCACATCCGTGTGGCTGCACACATCACCTCATCTCACACACACATCGATGGGGACACACGCCAACGGGTGTGCGTGCACACACGCATCCATGCACATACATGTTGGTTGGCACACGGGTCCATGCACACGTATACATGAATACGTGTGCATATAAGCAGGCACACGCGTGTCAGCGCACACACATGTGAGTGCACACACGCAGGAGTGCACACATGCACACCCACACACACACACTAACACGCACACCCACTCCCCCACGCACAGTCAGTCACACACACACTCACACCCCACACACACACCTACGCACACACACACGTGTGCACACGCACACACCCATACACACCCCCCCACACACAGTCACACTCACACACACAGTCACTCTCACACACACACACTCACACACACATGCACTCTCACAGTCATTGTCACACACACACACGCTCACACACACAGTCACACACTCACACACACACTCTCACACACACACTCACACTCACAGTCACTCTCACACACACACACGCTCACACTCACCCCCCCCACCTACGCACACACACACACATGCACGCGCACACACCCATACACACCCACACACTCACACACACTCACACACTCATACACACTCTTACACACTCACACTCACACACTCACACAATCACAAGCTCACACTCACCCCCCACACACCTACGCGCGCACACACACCCACCCACACACAGTCACACTCTCGCACCCATACACACTCACGCACACTCACACACGCACGCACACCCCATCGCACAGCCCGGTGTCGCGGTCCCTTTAAGACCCCCCCCCCTCAACTCGCCCCGCCCTCGCGGGAGGAGCGCGGGTTATTGGAGGGAAGGGGGGGGGGGGGGGGGGGGGGGGGGG